ATCCAATAAAAATAAATAAAAGATGATTAGAATGAAAAGAATATTTGGTTGAAAGAATGGAAATGATTTGAGAAGCAAATCCAATCGAATTAATTATTGATGGAAGCATAATACCAATGAATTTTTGTATCCACAGATATGATTTTGTTATTTGAAAGATTTTCAAAAAGAAGATTCCATTGGTGAAATGAAAAAAGAGAAATAGACAAGAGATTCCAATTAAATGAATGGATTTGAGTATAAAATGATTGATTAGATTTGATTGAACAATGATGTGATTATTTTCTTTGGAAACTTGAATTGGATAAAGAAGAAATAATCCATAGAATATAATTAGACCATAAAGAAGGTTTTCAATTGTTATTTGATCAATCCAAAGAAAATAACATATTGATACATTTATATTTAGAATGCCAACAAATATTTTCATTATTGATCCATAATCGAATATTTTTAATGGATAATTTAGAATTAGTTCAAATAATAATGTTATTAATAAGCATAATAAACATATCATTTCCAATAGATACCAAATATCAATATGAGACATTTTTAAATGGAATTAATATAAATGTTTATCTGAAATAGTTGCATGTTTATATTAATTGAGAATGAAGTTTAATATATTAGTAGTTTTAGGAGAAGAAATGTTCTTTCTCTTTTTTGTTTTATGAGAAACTGTTGCATAAAAGACAACGACATCAGTTGAAACTAAACAAATATACCACAATGGGATCTAAAATCATCGTTATTTGAACCTTTGAATTGTGGAATTCATATAAGTTACTGTAGTAAATAGAAGAATTTGTAAATGTAAATACACAGAATGATCAACTTGTTGCAGTAGGAGAATATATTATTGGTGGATGATCAGAATCGGATTGAAATATAGGACCCCACATACTTGAATTTCACTGTGTCTCCCATCGTCTTTAGAATTTTTTACACTAAATTATATTCGTTTAGGACATCTGTATATATAGATGTTTTTGAAGGAATAATTATATTTGATTAGAAAGAAAAAAGCATGAGAAAAATAATAGTATGAATTTGTTTTCATATTATTAATATTTGTTTAAGTTCTCAGTCTTCATCAATGAATCCCTTGTATGAATAAGAAAAAAAGTTGCTGTTCGTATTTTATATTGTTTCTTTAATTTCGATCAGAATAGATCTGTTTGTTTTGTTGCAAAATATCATGCGCATATCGTACTTTTTGAAAAATAAATGTCTGATTACGGTACATTCTAGAATGAAACGTCGTCAATGTTATAGTTAAAATAAATTATAAAAAAATATTTGTTTTTGAATATTTGAAAGTATTCGATGGTTTAATGAAAATATTCTTGTTTTAATCTTATTAGATTTCTTCCATATATTTATTATTACTCATTTTCATATTGAATTTTATTTTTCAACTGATTGGATAAGAAAGTTGTGAACGAAGAAATTTTTTTTATGAAATTAATATATTGAATTAACTGATATATTTACTTATTTTTATACAATTATTCATTTTTTATCGATTCGTTTTACATATCAATTCATAAGAAGAATCAATAGAGAAATAACTCTAAACATTATTCACTGATTCCTACATGTATTATTTTAATAAGAAAGTTTTATTTATGATATCATTGATGACGACATGTTGTCTTGTATAGTGAACGAGAGATGATTAATCGAAGCAGTATAAGTATAAGAATGCAGATCAATGGAGACGATTTGTTCACAAAACGATCCTCATGGAAGATTCCATTTCTATTCATTCTCAGATTGAGAGTCATACTTCTCACTTTCAGATAACACTACTTTTAACTCAATTATATCATTCTTGTCAACTCTGTGAAGTCTATTTCAATAAATTTTCCCTCAATCTGCCATCAACGAATCTCTGCTAGACATTGCATTCTGATGCTATTCGTAATCATAGCTTGACGTCACTGGAAAAGTGCCATTTTTCAGCGTCAATACAGATCATTAAGAGCTACAAAATATTAAAGACATTTCTGATATAGCTATGCTTCATTTATTATAAAACAATTAAACATGAATTTTTATCCTAAATTTAGTTCAATAGTTTTTGTTGAACAAACGTCAAGTAAATGATTAACTTGTTCATATTGTCTCCTTTTTATTTAGATAACATGAAAGATTTTCAGTAGAATAATAATTTAAATACTATCTTTTAAATAAAATCTTGAGAGTATGAGTTTGAGTGCGGATACCAACCAGGGTGTAAATCTATAGCTATACCCACAGCCACGCAGACCAACACCCTCAAGTTGGTGTAACGCGTGTTATCAAGTGAGTTTGATTTTCATCATCGAAATTTACTATTTTTAGTTAGATATTTCACTGTCGTTAACGACTGAAATGCTTTAGCGCGTCTTGTCGTCAAAACTTATTATATATTAGTAGACATTTTACTGATTTTACGAGTGAGATATTTTAACGCGTCTTGTCAAATGAGTTTGTTTTTCATCATCAAAACTCATGATTTATAATTAGCCACTTCACTGACTTTAACAAGTGAGATGCATTAACGCTTCTTATCGAGTGAGTTTATTTTTCATCCTTAAAACTTATCATTTATAGTTAGATAATTCACTGTCGTTAACGACTGAAATGTATTAACGCTACTTGTCGAATGAGTTTGTTTTTCATCATTAAACCTTATTATATATAGCTTGACATTTTACTAATTTTACGAGTGAGATATTTTAACGCGTTTTATCGAGTGAGTTTATTTTTCGTCATGAAAACTGTCTTGAGGTTGTTGACGTGTGTGTAGTGATTGAAAAAGATCCACGCACCCATTCAGACTCAAACCGATTCTCAAATGTTTTTCGCTTTCACGTTAAGTATAAGTTAGATTTACATTGATAGAAAATAATTATATAATTGAAAAGCGTATTAATATCTCTATTACCATATATTACGCTCGTTTTCACTTGCAACCGATACGCCGACGAGTACTTCATATATTTCTGATACCATCATATTTTTTTATCCTCATCATATATATATAAACACATGTCTAGATTACGGTAAAATGTGCTCTATATATCATACGATACGATACAGTACAATGTACGATCGATGTATATTGAATTGCGACATAGTTTTACTAGGCAATCGTACAGCGAATTATGATAGCTCGATGGTATTTTTTTCAACCCGTAAACATTTGAGGATGAAGGTACATTAGAAATACTCAAAATAAGCATTGTACAACCATCTTAAAAATATCTTAATATAATCATTTTATTAAACATATATCGTTTATAGTTAATCATATTATCCTATTACTTTCTACACTTTAGTTTTCACGCAAATAACAATGAATTCATCGGCAACAGTGTTAGAAAGTGGGCTCAATCTAATTCAGACGTATCTGACTGGTTATTTAATGGCACCATTTTATATGTTTGGTAATTTAGGCAACTTGGCAAATATTATTCTGTTCTTTGAGCGTAATTCTCGGTTAAATAACATATGTGGCTTGTATTTCATCGGACTATTCTTAGCCAATTTATTGATTATCGATATAGGTGATTTAACGCGAAGTCTTCCTTTTTTAACTAATTTCAATTTGGAATCTACATCACTTATATTCTGCAAATGTCGTCTTTATTTCGTGCATTTTCCATTGCTTCTTGGCCGTTATTTCATTTGTCTTATTTCGATCGATCGATGGATGGTAACATCGTCGAATGAATCCATCCGAAAAATGAGTTCTATCAAAAATGCTCGATATCTCATTATAGTCGGAACTTGTATTTGTGCCATTTTTAGTATACATGCTTCAATCGGATTCGAAATCAAGTTTGATCGATGTTATGCATATCTCAATTCAAGCTATAGTGTATTCTTCAGTATCTACAATGGATTGAGTGTTATAATACCAATGGTCATAATGACGATTTTTAGCATGCTTATCATTGTAAATATTCGTCAAAGTCGACGCCGTATTCAGGTTATACCTGAAGTAACAGCTAGTATTCACCAGACATCCATCAGACATATTCAACAAACTAATATGAAATTCATTCGATTGGCTTTAATGCAAAGTCTTTCATTTGGATTGTTAAATATTAGTTTTGTAGTATATGTTATCTATGATTTTGCGACTAGTGGACAAACAAAAAATTCTGATCAACTAGTCATTAACGGCTTTATTTATGGCGTTTCAATTCATCCTATTTATATATTCTCGTCGGTAAGATAATAAAATAATAAACGAAAGAAAACATTCTACTTGGATGAACTTAATTTTTAGATCACATTTGCAACATACACATTAGCATCAGCCAAGTTTCGCAAAGAGTGCATTTCTACAAGTCGTCGTCTTGGTACAAAATTACTACGTCGTTTTATACATTAATTCATCTAACATGATTATTTCTGACTGTTAGCACTTCATCTTCTTTAAATGCATATTTAATCTATTTTTTCTTCAATTCTGATGTTACCCTTATATGTCTACATATATTTATTGTACCGTGTTTGTGTATTCATGTATATCTTTTTATGCAATAAAGTAGATTGCATGCAGCATTATATATGCATCAAATGTACTTTCCAGTCTTGAACCGATGAGTGAAAATTTGCTGATCTAAAGTCGGATCTCACAGAATTTCAATCGTCATGCAATCCTTCGATCTTGCTTCACAAAAACTAGGTAAAAAATCAGATTAAAATTCAACATAATCGATTATTATCATCATTATGAGGATGTGAATGTGTAACGATAGAAGAAGTTTTTCTCATCATACTGCTTTATTATTGCTCACACATATCCTTGTTCATTTATATTTTTAAATTATCTATTTCTGATAATCTTTATTTGAACAAATAAAGTGTAACTGATCAAAACAAACTAGATTTAGATCATTGCATGGCACTCTTTTTGTACCCGAATATCCTTAAGAAAATTTTCATATATAAAGAAAATATTATAGTATCATTTATTCTACTTAGTTAAAAAAGACGGATAAATATGTTCATTATTATTTGAATATATCCGTACTATATTTTATAAATAAATATACGTAATATCTAGAAATACGTAGTATATAATGACATATTTCGTCATTAGATATGATCAATCAATTCAAAGTAAAGTTCGAATATAGATTCTTTTTTTATCATTTACGTATATTTCTTTTCCATAAATATATGTATTGATGACAATATTATACGACATAGAACTTTCTAAGGAATCAAATGACTCATTTACATACCCACACAGAATAACCGCAAGTTAAATATAGTATCACCAACGCATATTTCTTCGTATATATATATGCAAATGGAAGAAAAGACAAACATCTACTAAGCTTTTATACACAAACCAAAAGATGTCGTTTAATTACTATATTGTAAGTACTATAAAGAACTTTTTCAGAATATAAATATAAAATATCATTTTTTTTAAATAGTCAGTCTTATTCGTTTTACTATTAATCACTCACAAGAGTTATTCGAAAGCAATTCCACAATCGAAAGATAAAAAAGAATTAATTTCTTCGAATAATCAAATAACTTTAAAAACAAAATGGATGCAAAACGGTATTACACTTGTTGAAGGAAATCAATTATATGATCCAACTGGAATTTCAATTGATGATGATACTCAAACTATCTATATTGCTGATTCAGGAAATGATCGTATTATTAAATGGAAATTTGATGAAAAACAAGGTCAAATTATTGCAGGTGGAAATGGAAGAGGCAATGGATTAAATCAGTTAGATTGGCCAACTGATGTTATTCTTGATAAAAAAACAAATTCAATTCTTATTTGTGATTTAAACAATCGACGTGTTGTACGATGGTTACTTGAAATTAATGCATATGGACAAATAGTTATCAATGATATTGATTGTGGTGGCTTAAAAATAGATACTCAGGGAAATATTTATGTATCTGATTATGTTAATAATGAAATAAGAAAATGGTCAGCAGAAGATCCAGAAGGAATCATTGTTGCCGGTGGAAATGGAAAAGGAAATCAATTGAATCAACTTAATTATCCAATTTATTTCTTCGTTGATAAAGATGAATCAATTTATGTATCTGATCATTTAAATCATCGTGTTATGAAATGGATTAAGAATGCAAAAGAAGGTATCGTTGTTGCAGGTGGACAAGGTAAAGGAAATCTTTTAACACAATTAAAAGATTCATCAGGTGTCATGGTTGATCATTTAAATAATATTTATGTCGTCGATTCTGGTAATAATCGAATAGTACGTTGGTCAAAAGATTCGAAAAAAGGTCAGGTACTTGTTGGTGGAAATGAAAAAGGTGAAGAAGCAAATCAATTCGATTATCCTACTGGTTTAGCAATGGATCGACAAGGTAATTTATATGTCGCTGATTTTAGTAATCATCGAATACAAAAATTTCTTATTGACAATCATTAACATGTATTTTGTTATGTAATAACATTTGATTTTTAGAAAATGTAATATTTTTGTAAAAAGTTCTGTTTTTGTTTTTTCTTTAATGCAATAAATTTAAAATAATAGAAATGAATGATAATAGTTCAGAGCTATATCAACCATAAGAAATAAATAAACAATAAAATATTTTCTTTTTTACATTCTTCAGCAATGATTCGTTGTTAAAGAAGCGGTATTGCTTTTGTAATAAGACTCATTCTATTAATGAAGTTAGTTAATGATTTTAAAGATATTTAGTCGTCAGATCTTCTTATATTATTAAACAAAGACACCTGTTTAACATAAATAAGTGTTTATTTATAATAATAATAAAAAAGGATAGTACACATCAATCAAGGCCTAGAGTTTATTCAACTTTTGAATCATTGGTTGAATATGAAATATCATGTTTTTCAAGTTGATAACGTGGTGGACCTGATTTACTCATCGATAAACCACGTGCCATCTCAACTCGTCTTAAAAACTCGAGTTTAGTTTCACCAGATCGCACAGTGATGGGATCCGATCCAGGAAGATTATCGAATGTTACACTTCCATCAGCCATAATTTTGTTCTGTTTTTCATCACTTAGATTCTTTAACTGTGTAATAGTACACAATTCATACCAAACTGTTAGTCGACGTTCAGCTTTTTGAGGATAGATGACTCGATGAATACCTGGTTTCAAACGATTCTGTGTTACTCGAGCAGCCGCTTCTCCTAACCAGATGACACCAATATTTGGTTGTAAAGGTCCATCTATCCATTGATTTGTAGTCATATCTTTCAGTTGAAGTCCTTCATGTGTTGATATGACACTGATTGAGAGTAGTCCAGGATCGTAGTGTGGAACACAATTGACTTCTTCAGTTGATTGTCCATTTATTGGTGGTTGAAAACCATTTTTATCGTTGAAATAAGAGACGATGTCGAGCATACCAAAATGTTCATCTTTCGGTGGTAAGTTCGCTTCTTCAATCAACGTTGATAAGGATGGTTGTGATTGAAAAACACAATGTTGATCAAGAATTTCAATAAGTCGCTTTGTGACAACATCAAATGCTTGAGAAAGATAATTTAATGGATGAACAAGTTGTCTTGGTATCAAACTTTTATTTGCAAATTTACCATAATAACTACCAGTTAATAATTTAATTCCTTCTTTATGATCCACTTTTGAATAACCATAGATTGGTACGCGTTGTGTATATCTACGCTTGGTTCCATCAGCCTGTTGGAAAAATTCCGAAAGCTCGTGTGTCAAGACAGATGTTGGAATAAGTTCTGATGGTAAGATGACGAAACACCAACCATTGGATTCAAATTCTTGTTGCATTCGTTTGATTTCAGTTGCATCATTGGAATTTAATATTTTATTCAAATCAATAATTACTTGTGTGCTCGTATTTGGTAATGTCATTTTGAAAATAAGTTAGTAATAGTTGTGTTATGTGTGATGTTTCGTTTAAATATATGTCGTATAGTGTTACTTATCTCAGATGATTCATTTTATCAAGACGCAGTATTGCACAATATTTCTTTTTGTTTTATGTAATTTCACAACGTGACTAACACATGACTCATTTATCATTACACTCCGAAGAGGTTGTTCCTTTTGATCTTTCTTCAGATATATATAAAATATTGTTATTCCTTGTCGCGAAGATCTCAAGAACTGAAAACCATATAAGATTGGATAAACCGAAACATAATTCAATTAATAGATGTTGATAAAGTAGGTTTAATATATATTCCGTAAGTGTGGTTGATAACAGAAGCTATATTATTTGTTCTCTATGTAAATCTTCTCATGATTATCAATAAAATGGTGTACTCGTTTTAAAAATAAATCATCTGTATATTTTTTATAACTCTATCGGTATTTTATTATTTATAATAAATGTGTGAGTTTAAAACTGTTCGAAAACAATAGTATTAGCAAAGCAATATTATCGGTAGAGTAAGCAGAAATTTAGAGAGAACATAAAAAAATATTTGTAATTATTATTTCATATCAGCAAATTTGTCGAATGCTATGTTACAAAACGATAAGATCACCGGTAGTATCAATAGTGATACTAATGTTTGTTGTTCATGCGACGATCCACTTGTACGGGTACTATTGCATGAATTTTGAATGTAACTATTCTCAGCAGGACACTGTATAGGATATTTATCAGTACACAATTGTTTAATACATGAAGGACAATTTGCTACGTCTATCACTGGTTGATTCACTGGTGTACAGTTAAAATTCCATAAAGTAGGAAGACAACAAGCACATCGACAGTCATAACCATATGAGAGTGATAAGCAAACCATAATAATTGCACTTGCTAAAATAATTGATTTCATTTTATCTAATTCGTCAACGATCTCGTATGAATTCTTCTCTTATGAATTAAAAAGCAGATATATATATATCAATGAGGAACAAAAGAATAAAGACAAACTTTACAAGGTTATTTTTATTAGAGATGAATGAGTAACAGCCATTTAATTACTCAC